AGTAGATATTCTCATCAACTCCTTGTTTCCCCTCTCCCCAGATTAGAAATAGGCTCATGACTTATTTGGGGTCATGGAGCTATCAAGTAGAAATCAAGATCTGAGTACTCTTTAACTTACGTACGATATTTAGAAAAAGTGTTGGGCCTGAAGTCAGACCTAGGGACTCTAAAAGGATTACTGATATCAAAGCTCAGTATCCCAAAGGGATGCCTGGGAAAGAAACTATCTTCATATGGAAGATAAGCCCTGGCACTGGGATTTTTATTGCTCTTGATTTTTTGTTAGTATAAATGTTTAACTGTTCTCCAGGGTACTTTTTGTTGTGTAGAAGAAGAAAATTCATCAGGGGTAAAGGCATGAGAGGAACGGAGCCTATCAAGAGAAACAGAATCTTCTTTGGAAATTCCTAGGGAATCATGTTATAGCCAGTGGTAACTCTTTTGCAAACTTAATTAAGGAGGATAACACTGGTTCTCACTTATCTAAAGATACACTACAAGATCTACTAAAAATATTTTTTAAATGTCAGCTAATGCTAGAGAATCATAGTCCCCTCCATGAGTGGCCCTTAGTGATTTTCCCAGTTCCATTCCGTGCAAAGCAACTGGGTTTTTATTTATTTATTTTTGCTCCACTAATAACAAACTGATTTTATTTCCCTCATTTTAATCTGTCATTGAACTTATTTTAAATTTTTACAGAATTCTGTTACTTGCCTAAGTGTTTTTTTAATCTTTTAGGATTCATATCATTGTTATCTCCTCTAGAAATCACCCCCCTGCTGCCAGAACTTCTATGGTAGATGAAGAACTCCTTATAGCAAATTGTATTATATGGATCTGTTTTATATTGTCTTCTCTCTGCCAGATTATCGAGGGCAGGAAATCTCTATATCCCAGATCCTTAGGGGGCATGTGATAAATATTTATAACTTTCAACTGGATGAGCATCCTTCATAGTTAAGAGCAAGGAAGGAAATCATAAAGTTGATCAACCTGTTAACAGAAGTCAAAACTTTCGTCATGATACACTTAAAACAAACACAGAACTTTAGAACATCTGCTTTGCTGAAGTTGGAGCTTTGCTTTGGACAGTACTGCAAATTCCTCAAGAAAAAGGAAGAAAATTATGAACACTCTCACCAACAAGTACTCTCAAATGAAATCACTGTGAAGCAGTTTTCATTAAGATGGATTGAATGTGGCATCGTGAGAAACACTTTATCAAATGTAGTGTTTTACTTAGTGATTAACTATATACCAGTTGATGAAGCTCCCCAAATCCTTTGTAATCCCACCACTCCAATAAACATTTAATGAGTATATAAGTTCAAAAAGCCTAGCAGAGGATTTAAACCTTCAATCTTGTTTTTATTTACTCTTGGAACTCAATTTCTCACTTTCATTGAAGAAAGCGGTACGAGACTCATCTGTTGCCCTGGTAAAATTAATGTGCCTCCCACAGTTTAAATTAAACATGTGATATTTAAGAGGAAAGAAATTTAGTAAGAGTGCCACAGTATCAGTCAAACTTGCCTTAGAATGTTTGAACACCAGTAAACTGTTTTCTTAAAAATGGTTCTTTCAGAATATTTTAAAAATAATATTGAATAAGATTTGTCTTAATTCTCAAAGGTGAAATATGAAAAGTAGAGATGAAGTTTGATAACTGAATTATAAAGTATAGTAGGTAGCAGTCAAAACTGAAATATTATCATAGAGTAAACCATACTTACCTATCCTGGAACGTATGAGCTCAGATTTGGCCACTACTACTTACTGTTAACATGTCTGAGTAAGTCATGTAGATTTTCAGAGTTTCCTCATCTCTAAAATGAGACTATGGGTACTAAATGTCCCTATCTCACAGGTTTGTAATAGGTTTCAAATAATCATATATATGTGTAATATATATATATTATATATATAATAATCATATATATACTTATATATAATACACATATATAAAACATATATGAAATGTTTTATAAACCACAGAGCCTTATAGAAATCACAGCATTATTATTATTATACTATACACATACAACTAAAAAGGGATATGTACAATATATTTTGATGGCTATATTAAATGTACTAGCTTAGATTTAATTTTAGATTGTTTATCCATCATAGGGTTACATTTTACTTAATTTAGAGAAAATGTAATGAATTATGCATAAACTGTTCTCTAACTTGAAAATGAGAAATGAGAAAAGGAAAAAACCCTGAACAAGGGGAGAAAAATAAAGACATGTTAGCAAACCAGATAGGTTAGTGAATTTTGGTAGGAATTTAATATGAAGCAAAACATTTAATTGTATAAGCCAATGACTTTCATTTTCTAAAACACCTAGACACTAATAAAAACCAAACTATCAATTGTTTCATTAGAAATACCCAGGATTTAATAAATAAGAGCTTATGCTCCTTTGGGGATTATCAGTGAGAATAAATCTAAATGCCAATTTACTGTACAAGATACTTAGTGAAAGTTTTTTTGTTTATAATATACTGTATATTTAAATCTCTGCATTTAAAACTATAATGTGTGAAGTATACATAGTATATCTTAAAAAGCATTTGAAATAGGATTTTTCAAATATCTAATTAGTTTAAATTATGAAAGGCCCTAACATTTGCTTAGCAATCTTGCTTGAAAGCAGAAACAAATATATCCAAATACACTTTTATTGAGGAATGAGTTGAAAAATAGACTATTTAAATCTATAATTAGATACTCAAATATGTTTATGACCAACAGTGTAAATAAATATAATAGCATGGCCATACAATGAAAGATTCCACAATCATTAAAATCTGTGTTATAATATTTAGCATTACTTACAAAGAATTCTTATAAAAAGTGAATACCTGAATCTAAAAAAGTTTTTAGAACTAATATCAAATTTTTTTCAGGAAATACAGACTGAGGAACAAGGTAAATAATTTCACAAGGAAACAATCACACAAATCCAGAATTTGGAACAATCTACAAGTCATCTGGCCTGATTTCTTCACAAAGCAAATGTCATGGAAAAAAAGGGAGAGCTGATGCTTGCTTAAAACAGACTTAGGAAATCTAACATTCAAATACAATTTATGATCGTTCAGAAGAGTGTGGTTCAAAAAACCACTAAAAACTATCTATATTCTGGGGACAACTACTGAAGTTTGAATATGTATTGGATATTAAAGAATGATTGTTAATTTTTTTCATGTGATTAAGTGCGAGTATCACGACTTTTGTAAAATACATGCTGAAGCTTTCAGGGGTAAAGTGTGATGCTTATAATGTACTTTCAAAAGGTTCGGTCAAAAATAATGAATATGAGATTACTAAATGTTTTATGTGGTTTTGGTTTTAATAACTTTAAAACTTTTGTTTTAGTTATTTGTATTTATTTTCCATTTGTTTGTATGAATTTTAAGAAGTAATTTTGTGAGTGTGTGGTGCTGGGGATAAATGCAGGTTCCCATGCATGTTAAGCATACACTCTACTACCAAGCTATATCTGCAAAATTTACTTAATGCTGAAGTCAACATTTGCCATTTTTCATCACTGAAGAATTAAAATAAAAAGTCATCTAAAAATAGTCACCAAAATTATAAATCCAAATTTAAATAATTAATTTACAAATGTTGTTGTTTTGTCAGATTATAGCAAACTTTTCAAAGCATTCAGAGTTTGGGATGCCTATATATGAAAAAAGCACATATGGAAAAAAATTTCATTATTAATAAATCTAGATGAATTTTTACTGTATTATTACTTCTACTGCCTCCTATATTGAATTGTTTAATAGTAAAAAGTTAAAACACTATAAATAATATAGAAGAAATGGTTGTATGATATTAAAAAGTAAAAACCGATTATAAAAGGATTGTAATGACTCAATTGTATTAAATACCCACAAACACATTCACTCAAACTTAACATAAAAAATGCAGAGTATGTATTAGAAAGTTAATCATTAAAAGATGTTAGAAAACATTCTATTTGTTTTGTAGTATTTTCCATAAACCTTCATTTATGAAACCATAAATATATAAACAGAATGATGCATTTCCTTAAAAATAATAGGTACTTACATAGATTTAATTGTTAAGGGGTACTTCACCTTTAAGGGTAAAGAACAATTTGCTCCTTAATTTGCTTCATTATCTGTCAGACATACCTCTAGCTTTGATTACTAATTACCATTTTGGAATTAAATCTTAAAAATATTTGTTTTAAAACGAATTTTCTTTACATCAGAATTTAATATAAATTAGTATACAGAGGACTCAGAGGCACAATTAAACTCTATTTTCAAAATTCTTTGCCTTCTTTAATTATAACACCTTCCCCAGAACACACCACCCAGCCCAGAGTATCTCTTATTCAAAATGCTTAGGACCAGAAGTGTTTTATATTTTGGAGTTTTTCAGATTTGGAAATTTAGATAGACTTCACTGGTTGAGAATACCTAATCCAAAAATCTAAAATATGAAACACTCCATTTTGGATTTTAGATTGTTGGAATAGTGATGCTCACCCTGTGTGTGTGTGTGTGTGGTTTCATACTATCCAAGGTTTCAGACACTCACTAGGGGTCTGGGAAAACAGGCCTCACAGATAATTATTACACGGAATAATAATTTTGAGAAAAGACTTATGGGCAAATCCTGTATCAAGAACTTCTCATTCATGTAACTAAAAAGAATACTAAATTATAGCCAGGTCCCTTGTCAGTATGTTTGCTTTCCCCCCTATAAAAAAAACCCCTAATATAGAATTTGACATGTCTTCTATAAAGACCAGCAGTACTCTATTACACTAATCCTCCCTTTGAAATGGGCATCTTGGTGAAGATTAGGTCTTCACCTAATTGATGAACCAGAAGCAAAATCAAGACTTCAACCTCAAAACAAAAATAGAAAACATTAAGCATTGCCTCAGGCCTAGTGGTAAACATGTGGGTTGTATTTTTAAACAGAACAGGCAAGATTGCACTTACATCTCGGGCTTTCACATAGAAGGCCTCTTGAAAAGCAGCTTCTAATGAGCCAATAAAAAATACAGGATGGCAGTCACCATATCTACAGGAAAAATTAAGTCTATTAGTTAATATACATTTCAAATTCATTTCAAAATTCTCAAGTCTAATCAATGGGCTAGGTAAAGTTGGGCTAATGTCTATTGCAGACCAAATATTAAACTATGTTTTTAAAAGCTTGGAAGTGAGCTTCATTACTTTTTTCAATTCTTCCTGGTCTATACTAATATTAGAACACTATCTAGCAAGTGAATTTCCAAAGTGCTATGAGCTGGGTGTGGTGGTGCACACCTGTAAGCCCAGCAGATCAGGAGGCTGAGGCATGAGTATCACAAGTTTGAGGCCAGTCTCAATAAATTAGCTAGACTCTGTCTCAAAACAGAAATGAAAAGGACTGGGGGGGGGGGGGGTAGCTGAGGGGTACAGCAACCCTGGAGTCAATTCCCAGTACCAAAAAAAAAAAAGAAAGAAAGGAAAAAGAAAGTTATGAGTAACCATGAATTTGCTCAATTATAAGGAGCAAATTCTTGGTTACTCACTTATAAAAGTAAGATTATACTATTATGTTAATTTTAAGTTCCCACTTTAGTTCACTTATTTAAAAATTCCAATGCAAAAGGGGGAAATGGTTTCTTATAGTGCCAATATTATATTTCATCAGAAAATAACACGGAAGAGAAATATACTTTATATCAAACTGAAGGTTAAATAGTAATCCTCTTTATATTTTAATACCTCAGCACTCCCCCAGGTACGTAAAACATTATATTAGAGTTTTAAAAAAAGAAATGGTAAAGAACTCCAAAATAAAAATCAAAAGAAAAAAATTCACTTCCATTTAAAAATTTTAAATTATCCTTTTACTTAACATTGTTTTACAGATTTTTTTTGTGTGTGTGGGTTGGTTTGTCTATTCTAGTATATACTAAAAATCATAACCTGTATGGTATTCCTTTGGGGGAATATAATAAATATATTAAAATTAGTGATCAATTTCTTAAACTTCTATAAAGATATAGTGAAGTGGCATAAATGATGTATTAGTTATCTCACACTAAACAATGTGTTTCTCTATCAGCACTACATAAATTGATAAATATATCCTTTGAGGAGAAATTTTAAACAATTTATGATTAAAATTGGCCTAAAAGAAAACCACAGTAGCATAAAAGAACATTAATTTTATATAGTTAATGTCCTAACCCTACCTTGAAGAAAACTCTGCTGTAAACTGTAATAAGGCATCTCCTTCATTTTCTGCGTTTTCTGGCACTAAAAAACAAACAAAAGAAAAAACAAAAACAAAAACAAAAAAAAAAAACAAATAGACACAAAAAACAAACCACATAACATCTAATCCCACATATAAGAAATATATTTAATCAATAAAGAGGAAATAAAATTAAGTTTTAGCTTCTGCGATATATCTGAGGGAACATTTTAACTCTATATACATTAGAAGCTTTCATCAAACCAGAATCAAAAAGAACCTTTAAAAAATTTCAGGCTCATAAATTTTGGAAATTAAAAGATACAATCCTGTTAAGCATCTAAAATACGTGCCAGTTGTCAATTAGGATTTCAATGTTTTCTTGAAATAGACATTTGTGATTAAATTATATGAAAAATATGAAGTTATTTTAAATACCCCATTCAAACAATGAGGTTTGAAAATTGTTAATTTTATGTAAATACTACATGTATTTATGCCCACAGGATGTCCCTAATTTCATGGAGCAAATGGGCCATTTATGAATTTACTTTAATGATCATTTTGCATAAAGCATTTCTTTTTTTCTATAGTATGCATTTCACAAGTGCAAATTAGAAAGATGGTACATTTACTTTACTTTTGTTTTCCCTTCCAAAGATGGGTACCGGCAAATGAAAAAGTAGTATTACTAGTCTTCACACTGATATCTCTGACAGATGAGGGGAACAAGTACCAGTCACAGAAATTACAGTTGCCTCTTAATCAATCTCTAGGTTTCAAGTGAAGAGAGAGAGAGAGTCAGAACTATACATATGAAATAAGTTACATTCCTTTTTTTGGATAATTTTTACTAATGTGTTGAGAATTTCTAGGCTTAATAAAACTGAAAGGCTCTGATTCTAATGAAGAATGACCACTCATTTTATTTTCTCTCTCCAAACCTAAGGATCAGTAAAAGGGTTTCCAGTTCATTGTTTCTTTTAAGTTTGAATACTAAAAGGGAGATTATAATGTTGGCCCCAAAGAGCTATTAATACTCACTCATTGGAGATTTTCTCAGGGCAGATGACGCCATGCCGAATACTTCTCCATCATCCACCCCAAATTCTGTAGCATCTTCAAAGTCATCTCCATCGCTATCACTAACCATATGAACATCGGTGCTTTGCTATTTAAGAAAAGTCCTGATTAGATACATATTGACTTTAGCATATCAAATTTTAAAGTTATATGATCACAGTAGGACATTAGTTTTATAAAAGTTTTATCAAATAAGAAGTCACCTTTACTAGAGTAATGCTTAATATTTTTTATTTTTAGGCTCATAAACATTTCTAAACTTGGTATAAAACCTGTAAACCAAAGGTTGGAGACTGATAAAAAAATGAAGGACACTTATAAACTCAAGGAAGACAGGTATCTTTGTTTTACCCTCAGCCTATAGTACACAACTAAGAGCTCAATAAATAAGGAAATAGGTACACCTGGAAAAATCAGAATCAAAGTAAGCTATGTTTCTCAAAAAGATCATACTAACCTATATTTGGCAGGTAAAAGTAAAAGCATTTTCTTTCTTTCTTTGTACTAGGGATTGAACCCAGGGGTGTTTTATACATTTCCAATCCTTTTAATTTTTTTTTTTTGGTACTGGGGATTGAACTCAGGGGCACTTGACCACTGAATCACATCCCCAACCCTATTTTGTATTTATGTAGAGACAGGGTCTCATTGAGGTGCTAAGTGCCTCACCATTGCTGAGACTGGCTTTGAACTCGCAATCCTTCTGACTCAGCCTCCCAGCCCTTGGGATTATAGGCATGCACCACCAAGTCAAGCCATACTCAAGTATTAATGCCCAGAATGATGATATTTTTTCTCTTGTCTTTAAGACAGTCCAATTCTTTCAATAGACAAGGTAAATAAGAAATATATTTGTTCATGCATTAATGAGTGGTGTTTATCTTAAGCCATTAACTTGCTATTCTGACTCTACCATTATTTCTCATAAAAGTCTTGGTTCTATACACAATCCTAACCCTCCCTTTGTTCTGTAGAGCTGGATCTCCTCCTTGTTTATGCTATTCAACAGCTTAAAAATTCAAGACCCGGGCTGGGGATGTGGCTCAAGTGGTAGCGCGCTCGCCTGGCATGCGTGCGGCCCGGATTCGATCCTCAGCACCACATACAAACAAAGATGTTGTGTCCACCGAAAAACTAAAAAATAAATATTTTAAAAAAATTCTCTCTCTCTCCCTCTCTCCCTCTCTCTTAAAAAAAATTCAAGACCCCTTCTTTTTTTAAATATTTATTTTTTAGTTGTAGTTGGGCACAATATTTTTATTTCACTTATTTATTTTTATGTGGTGCGGGGGATCCAACCCAGGGTCTAGCACTTGCCAAGCAAGTGCTCTACTGCTGAGCCACAACCCCAGCCCCACCCCTTCTTATTTTAAAGGAAGAAGTTTCCTTTTCAAACAATACACTATAAGACAATTGCCCTTGAATTCCTTCTGTGTTTCAAATATCCTCAGCATGACTTTCCCTTTAACTTTGTGGCTTAAAGAAGTAAAGGTTCAAATCTACAAGATCCACTATGTGTTCCTTTACAATGCTTTACCATGCACAGGTAAGTGGAATAAGCAAAGGACCAGCATGACAACCTTACATCCTCTGTCAGCTAAATTATCATCTACCCTTTACTTTGTTTTACCTAGGATTTACCTCTCCCTTAGTTCTGTCTAGGATTCATCTCTCCCTGAGAAGCATAAGGTTAATAAATATCAGGGTTAAGGGACATGGGAGAGGACTATTCCTTTTTTCTTTTCTATCCCTTTTATCTTACTGTCCCACATCTATCTTCCTTTTCCAAATTCTCTTTCTCCAAATTCAGTTTTCAATCAAATAATATCCTCTTTTCTTAACAATATAATTTTTACTTTCTCTATGTGACTCTATAACCCATTATTCATTCAGTCATCACAAAAAATAGAATATCCCAATCTCTTAAAATCCTAGAAAAAGAGGAGCTGGGGCTGGGGTTCAGGCTCAGCGATAGTGCTTGCCTCACACGTAAGGGGTGCTGGGTTCAATCCTCAGCACCACATAAAAATAAATAAAGATATTGTGTCCATCTACAATAAAAAAATAAATTTTAAAAATCCTAGAAAATGAAATCCTACAACCATATCATCTTTAAAGGGAGGTATATAAAAAGCCAATTTTGTTGAAAAACGTATATTTCAAATATGAATTATTGAAGTATCTGCAAGAATGAGGTACTTAATTATGTATAAGGAACTCCCAATCTTTTCACATTTTCTTATCAGACATCTAACAGGTTAGGAAAAGCTTTTTCTAAAAAGTGAGATAAATAATCTTTTTTTTTCCCATTAATATTTGCTGAGGAGAACAGATAATATCTTGGTATCAGTCATGAAAGCTCGAAGATTCTTTAAATCTAGAAGCTATTTATTCAGAATTTTAAAAACACCTAACATTTAAAACATTCTATTTCAGCTATATATTGCATTCATTTAGTCTCTTTATCATTCAACAAACATTTATAAAGCCCAACATTTGGACTTGTGTGAAAGATAGTCTGTCTTCTTTATAAGCACTATACAGATAATTATAATATAGAGTGATAAGTAATAAAACAAGTAAATTCAGAGGAAAGTACCTAATTTATTAGAGGTAGGAAGAATCAGAGAAAACTTCCTGGAGGGGATGATAACCAAACAGTTTGAGACAAAAACTTAGAACATGTAACTGTCATTAAAGCAAGCTTATAATTGAAGTAGATGTGCCCTGAAGCAGACATTCACCAACTACCTATTATGCTGAGGCACAAGTTAAAAGTTAGGAATACAGAGATAAAATATGGTTCTAGCATTTAAGAAATTCCCATTCTATAAAATTATATTACTTGCTGGTAAACTTATAGGACTGGAGGACATCATGCTAAGTGAAATAAGTCAGGGGATGAATGTTTTCTCTCATTCGAGGAAACTAGAGGGGGTGGGGGAGATGGCTCATATAAATAGAAAGGAAACCATAGGGAAGAGAGAGGGGAGAGCAGAGTGGAGACTTATCAGACACGGTGGGCATAACTTTTATAGTTTGAAGTGTGACAGCAAAACTCACAGGAATTTCTTTTTCCTTTTTCAAAGTTTAATGGAAGAGTCATTCTTATTGTAAATCTTAGCAACTACAGCATACAATTTTTAAATTTTTACTTATTTATTTTTATATGGTGCTGAAGATTGAACCCAGTGCCTCACACATACTGGGCAAGTGCTATACCACCGAGCCACAACCCCCGCCCCAGGCCTGTAGGATATTAAAAGGTAATATCTTAATTCTGTTCCATGTCTACAGGTAGTAATTCTATGCCTAACATTGACCTTGGTTATAAGGGGATGGTAAAGCAAACATAGACATTACAGTTTTTTTCATTGAAAAAATATTCAAGCTGGGTCTGGTGGCGCACACTTATAATCCCAGCATTTTAGGAGGTTGAGGCAGGAGGATCACAAGTTTGAGGCCAGCCTCAGCAACTTTATGAGACCATCAGCAACTTAGCATGACCCTGTCTCAAAATAAAATCTGAAAAGGCTGGGGGGGAATAGCTCAGTTGTACAGTGCTCTAAGTTGAATCCCCAATACCAACAACAACAAATTATTCAATCAAAGCTGGGGGTGAATCTCAGTATTAGAGTGCTTATCTAGCATTAGCAGGGCTGGGTTCAGTTGCAGTATTGGGATACTGCAAATACATCAATAAAAAAACAAATACATATACAAAAATAAAAAGTACTTAATGAACTCTTACTATGCACTGTGAGAAGTTATCACCATCATTTTAAATGAATATGAATATATATGCACCCAGCATCAGAGCACCTAAATGTGTAAGGCACACTTTAATAAGGAGTAAAACAGAGTGTATGTAATACAGTAATAGTAGGGGAATTCAATATCCCACTTTCAGATCATCCAAGTCAAAAATTATTGAAGAAACATTAGATTTACACTATATACCTTAGACCACATTGGCCTAAGTGACTAAGTGAAGCTGTAAAGTATTTCCTTCAGGGAAAAAGGTAAGAGTTAAGGAAAGAAAAAAAATTGTATGCTGTAGTTGCTAAGATTTGCAATAAGAATGACTCTTCCATTAAACTTTGAAAAAGGAAAAAGAAATTCCTATGAATTTTGCTGTCACACTTCAAACTATAAAAGTTATGCCCACAGTGTCTGATAAGTGTTTATTTAGTTCAGATGGAAAAGGCATTAAATTTAAGTATGGGAATGTAGGCGGACACATAGTTTTATTTATTTATTTATTTATTTATACACACACACACACACACACACACACACACACATCTCGTTTGGTACTATTCAAAATTTCAGGCATCCATTGGGGGTCTTAGAACATATCCCCTACAGATAACGGAGGTCCACTGTACTGTCCAATAAATTGGATACACTAGAATAAATAGGTAAATTCCTAGATGTACACAACCTACCAAGACTGAGTAATGAAGAAATGGAAAATCTGAATAGACGAATAAAGAGTAAAGAGATTGAATCAGTAATAAAAAGGCCCGGTCCTAGTGGTTTCACTACTGAATCCTACAAACATTTAAAGAATGAATACCAGTTCTTAAATGTCTTAAGGATAGAATACTTGCAAACTCATTATATAGTTTCATCATTATCTTGATGTCAGACAAGGAAAATAAGAAAATTATAGACCCGCATAGATGAACATAGATGGAGATATTTTCAACAGAATACTAGTAAACCAGACTCAATAGCACTTTAAAAGGATAATTATTCCCCATGGTTGAGTGGAATATCTCCCTGGAATATAAGGATGATCATACCAAAACCAATAAATGGGATGGATTCAACCTGAAAAGCTTCTCAGCAAAAGAAATCAGTGAGGTGAAGAGAGAGCCTATAGAATGGGAGCAAATTTTTACCACATGCACATCAGATATAGCACTAATCTCTGGGATACATAAAGAACTCAAAAAACTTAACACCCAAAACCCCCCCAAAACAAAAACAAATAACCCAATCAATAAATGGGCTAAGGAATTGAACAGACACTGAACAAATATATGAAAAAGGTTTAACATCTCTAGCAATTAAAGAAATGTAAATCAAAACTACTCTAAGATTTCATGTCATGGCAGTCAGAATGGCAGCTATTAAGAATACAACCATCAATAAGCGTTGGCGAGGATGTGGGGGAAAAGGCACACTGATTCATTGCTAGTGGGACTGCAAATTGGTGCAACCAATCTGTAAAGCAACATGGAGATTCCTTGGGAAACTTGGAATGGAATCACTATTTGACCCACCTATCCCACTCCTCTATTTATACCCAAAGGACTTAAAAACAGCACACTACAGTGATGCAGCCCCATGAATGTTTATAGCAGCACAATTCACAATAGCCAAACTGTGGAACAAACCTAGATGCCCTTCAATAGATGAATGGATAAAGAAACCGTGGTATATATACACAATGGAATATTTCTGAACATTAAAGGAGAATAAAATCATGGCATTTTTAGGTAAATGGATCGAGTTGGAGAATATCATGCTAAGTGAAGTAAGCCAATCCCAAAAAACCAAAGGCCAAATGTTTTCTTTGATATGTGGATGCTGAAGTTGGGGGGAGCATGGAAGGAATGGATGAACTTTGGATAGGGCAAGTGTGGAGAGAGGGGAAGGGAGGGGGTAAGGGGGTAGAAAAGATGGTGGAATGAGATGGACATCATTACCCTAAGTACATGTATAACGACATGAATGATGTGAATCTACTTTGTGTACAACCAGAGAAATGAAAAATTGTACTCTATATGTGTACTATGAATTGAAATGAAATTTGTTATGTGGCGTTATGCTGCCATATATAACAAATTCGAATAAGTTAATTTAAATAAGCAAATAATTATAAATAAGTAGTGATTTCTTTCCTGTCTTCATACTCACTCCCCTCTCCACTCTCCCCTTTGCCCAATCACAGTGCCTCTCAAAAAAAAAAAAAAAAAAGAACTTTTCTTTTTCTTTTAAAAATTTATTTTTTAGTTATAGGTGGACACAATACCTTTGTTTTATTTTTATGTGGTGCTGAGGATTGAAGCCAGTATCTCATGCATGCTAGGCAAGCGCTCTACTTCTGAGCCACAACCCCAGCCATCTTTTGGTTTTTGTATTTGTCTTTTAAAGAGATTTAAAATAAATATATAATTCAAATATTTTCTTACATTTTTGTGATAACTGTCAATGTTAATTTTTTGGGTAGTTATAAATTTATCTGTTTGTCATGCCTTTTCTCCTTAAATAACTTTCTTAAGCATTCATTTAAGGTTTTGTTTGACTGTTCTTTCCTTCAGTCATGCATGTCATCCATTTTCTTCTGAACTGCATACTTTCTGATGTTATTTCCTTATTAAGTCTAGAACTCTTACCTTTTTCCCTAAAGGAAATACTTTACAGCTTCACTTAGTCTCTTAGGCCAATGTGGTCTAAGGTATATAGTGTAAATCTAATGTTTCTTCAATAATTTTTGACTTGGATGATCTGAAAGTGGGATATTAAATTCCCCTACTATTACTGTATTACACTCTGTTTCACTCCTTATTAAAGTGTGCCTTACACATTTAGGTGCTCTGATGCTGGGTGCATATATATTCATATTCATTTAAAATGATGGTGATAACCTCTCACAGTGCATAGTAAGAGTTCATTAAGTACTTTTTATTTTTGTATATGTATTTGTTTTTTTATTTATGTATTTGCAGTATCCCAATACTGCAACTGAACCCAGCCCTGCTAATGCTAGATAAGCACTCTAATACTGAGATTCACCCCCAGCTTTGATTGAATAATTTGTTGTTGTTGGTATTGGGGATTCAACTTAGAGCACTGTACAACTGAGCTATTCCCCCCAGCCTTTTCAGATTTTATTTTGAGACAGGGTCATGCTAAGTTGCTGATGGTCTCATAAAGTTGCTGAGGCTGGCCTCAAACTTGTGATCCTCCTGCCTCAACCTTCCAAAAAGGTTGGGATTATAAGTGTGCGCCACCAGACCCAGCTTGAATATTTTTTCAATGAAAAAAACTGTAATGTCTATGTTTGCTTTACCATCCCCTTATAACCAAGGTCAATGTTAGGCATAGAATTACTACCTGTAGACATGGAACAGAATTAAGATATTACCTTTTAATATCCTACAGGCCTGGGGCGGGGGTTGTGGCTCGGTGGTATAGTACTTGCCCAGCACGTGTGAGGCACTGGGTTCAATCCTCAGCACCATATAAAAATAAATAAATAAGTAAAAATTTAAAAATTGTTAAAAAAATATCCTACAGGCCTAAATAGACATACAGAGGCACATACATAGCATGTTCCATCTTATCTGCCTCATTGCTTTGTTTCCACAGCACCCTTGTGTGTACTGCTGTCACTAAAGTTTTTATATTATGTCGTCATTACCAATTTACAGATCTGTTATCCTTCATATAGGTACATTGTTTTTCATCTTTATTATCCAAATGCAGACATATCTGGTTCATAGAAGGTATTCTAACTCAATGAGTTAAAGGACCTCCAGAATCAATCCCAATAAATGTAGTCAACTACACAGCAGAGAAAAAAAAAAAAAAAAACTCTTTCTTAACCTGACAGCTCTAAGTAAAAATTATTTCAAACAATCAATCTGAATTTTGTCTATTGAAATATGAAACTAACAGAACATGAAGGAACACATTAGCAATAACCTTGCATGGAAAGTTTCTGCCTTCAGGAATTTACTGAGGCTTTATTCATGCTACATTAACTTTACCAATGCATTGTTGTGGCAGATAAAAAGAATAGGAAGTAGGCAAGTGGGTGGAGAATATAGGCCTTCTGAAAAGCTAGCAAACAGGCTTACTTCTTCTGACTGCTCCCGAGTCTGTGCAGGTGAAGATCTTCTTCCTACAGTAAGTCGGTGGCAGGGATAAGAGATCCCTGATTCAGCAAGACACATCTGTGGAAAGTAAACACATCATTGATAAACAAAATGTGGCCATGTATCACAAAAGACTTAGTTTTTGTCATTATTTTTGAATCTAGATTAGAAAGCTTACTCTGGTAGCCTGAGTATATATTACATTACCAAGAATGCTTTGGAATCTTGAAGATTTTCTACATATGGTATATGTACATATATATTACGGTAGCCAACGATAACTTTCATTAGATGATAGAGCAGGGCTCCAGAAAACTGTAACACATCAAAAATAAGGCAATCACACACACCCTCTAATACCAGTATGTATCTGCTACTTTTTAGATTAGTAGAATAATACCTTAGTTTTATAACTCTCAGGGTAGTAAGGGTACATATGAAGAGTATCTGCTACAGGCATTTTTTGTTTTTAATTAAGATACATTTAAATTTTTACGTTTCAGTATTAGCATACCTTAAGGAAAATAAAAAATGAAATATAATTTGAAAAAAAAAGTCTAATACAAGCAAGTTTATATGGCAACAATTCATTAATGATAATTTTAGGTAACATAACTACTACAGTGCATGTTATATATGGTATATTCTGTGTCAGGCATTTAATTTGCCTATCAACAGGTTATTTATATTTCATTCATTTTTTATTATATAGAAGAATTAAAACAATATTAAGAGCTGGAGTGTAGCTCAGTGGTAGAATGAATGCTAAGCATGTGTGAAACCCTGGGTTCATCTCCAGTACCAGAAACAAAGAAAATATTAAATAGTCCAAAGAGGGTGTTTTTTCTTGGTGTAGATAAAATGGCACTTAGGTGATGATGGAACTTAGGTGATGATGATATAAATAAATTTCTTTTATTATTAGGAATAAAATGGAATTCTCTAGCACACTAAAAACATCATTTGGAATATTAGGGGGAGGTATGAATTACATTGATATATGATGAAATCAAATAAATTCAGAGAGAATAGCACAAGAGTTACACATAACTAGAATTCAAAAGTGTTTAATCAAGTTAATTATCTTAAAACAACTATTGGAATGGAAAATAGAAATTTCATATAACTCTCCAGGTATTATCAATCATGTGAGTTGTGCATTGTTGTACAGATTGTACTGTTTGGTTATTTTATCTTTCTTTTAGTCTGGTTAGAGGTCTCTGTTTTCTTACTTTTGCATCAAAATATATTGAGATTATACTGTACAAAGGCTAGAAGACTTAATTAATAATTAAAAAGTGCAAAACTTCATTAATTCTGAATATTTTTATTCAATCATATGCACCAACATAATTGTCACAATTGAGTCTATCTACTTATTTCTCTTTAATACAAGCAAAAACAAGCTAAGTTAGATAAAAAGCATAGACTAAATTTCAACATGTTACTTTCACAATAGTTTTCACTTGAAAAAAGTCCATTTCTTCTACTCTTAAATCCTCTGGTAATAAAACAGCAATGATAGTAAATGTCACTGACAATCAGAAGCAATGTGATATAATGGAAAGAGACCTGGACCAGATGCCAGAAGACCTTGATTCAAGTACTGCCTACCCTCCTGATCTTAGGAAAGTCATTTCTCTTTTCCACAGATTTCTTGTTTATTGATTGAGGTGAGTAATTTCTGCCCTGACCACCTCACTGGACTTTTTTTTTCCGAAGGGTTAAATGTGATAAGGTAAGTAAAAGCTGGCTTTGAAACTGTACAGTATTAGGCAGAAGATTTGTTATAATTGTAATGATCATTATTTTTAGTCTTCTACTGTGCTGGCCTTTGAAAGCAGGTTAATCGTGTATAAATTAAAAAGAAAAAAATGCATATTTAAAGGAGTTGGAGGAAAACACTAAAAATACACTGTACTATAATAGTATAAGGGGGCTCTTCAGTGGGTTTGCCCCCAGAGTTATCAACATTAACCTTCCCCATACATACTACTAATTATTACTGAAAATAAGAGGAGAGAAGATAGTAGCACTTTCTCCTTTATCTACCAGTAATGAAATAAGTCTCTGCATCACTCCTGCTTTTGGATTTTTGAGCTAAAAAAATTAAAGGGTTTAGATTTTCTAAGTTACTAGATGTCTAGGACTGATTTAAAAAAAAAAAAAAAAGGCATGATGTTTGTTTTGTTTTAAGGAAACATCTATACCAGTTCATCAGACAAGAGATGCACTAAGAAAAAGAAATAGAAGTTGGGTAAGGATTGGTTTATATCTTTACCAGGCAGTCTCTCTCTGTAGGACTGTGGATTATTTGAAATGAACACTAATCACTCAGAAAGTGATATCAAAAAGTCAAGGCTAGATTAAATGTTTCCTTGGGACTCATTACTTAAACTTACATAAGTGATAGGAAGTCAGAGATGCCCAGTCCACTTAGGTTAAATCACTCAATTTCCCTATAACTATGGGCAAAATCACTTAGAATTTTTGTACCTTCATTTTCTTATTTAGAAAATGGCATAATATACTGTTGTTAATTTACAAAAGAGACTAATATAATCTGAATGATCACAGAGTTGCTATGAAGATTGAATGAGATAACATGTAAAAGTGAATGATTATGCAATCATAAAGTGTCAACACTATTACATTGGGGGTATTTATTTTGCAACAAATTAGAGAAAGGAAAGAGGAATTGAAGACTTGTTTGATTTTATAGTTGAAGATTACTTTTTAAAAATATAGATTTGGAGGACATATTATCGTAGTTAATTAATCTGTATATCATAGTTACCTTTTATATGGTTATTTTATAATCATAAGATTACTATAACCAACCAAAATGAAGGACTGTGACCAATTTTCAAAATCTATTTTCAGTTTACTTAGCTTTTTTCTGGTAATGTTAGACTGTAATTCTTTATTACTAAAGCAAAGATTCAAAATAGTCTCCCAAGCCAGCGAAGGTGGTACATGCCTATATTGCCAGAGATGTGGAAGTCTGAGGCAGAGGGATCACAAGTTCTAGACCAGGCTCAGCAACTTAGCAAGATCCTAAAAAACTCAGTGAGATTCTGCCTCAAAGTAAATAAAAATGACTACTGAGCTCAATGGTTAAGCCCCAGGATTGAATCTCTTATATTAAAAAGAAAGAGGGTGAGGGGGTTTGTCAATGCAGCTCAGTGGTAAGGTACCCTGGTTTTAATCCCTAGTCCCAATAAAACAAGTCTCAGAAATTCAAAATAAGCATATGTCAACATTTTTTCATTTTATTATTTAATTCTGTATTCTAATAAATGCTGCATATCTGGGAGAAAAAAATCTTCTGGATATGTATAGAGATGAGAGAGATTGGTAGAAGAAACAGAATTTTAGAATCTCTAACCCTGAGAGGCTATGACCTATTGACCTTTTGTGTGATACATTATGTGACTTATAAACCCATGTAGTTATCTTGTGTTCTATGCTTTCCTGGAGAAAAATGTCAATCATATGCACCAACATAATTGTCACAATTGAATCAAACTGCTGAAAAATTATTCTCTACAATGAATTACTCAGAATAAAGTGTTATTGATTTATTTGTCTATTAATATGCACACACCAATTTGTTAGTCAACAGACTAATAGTTTAACTGTATAATACTACAGGTAAAGATGTATTCAGGGTAAAAACCTGAATAGAACTCCAAAACACAAGAGATAATAAAAACACAATATTTCAAACAGCAAAAGTGCATCAGGGGTATAAAAAAAGATCTGATGGTATGTAATTCTTTTCTCCAGCAATCACACTTTTACTTACATTCTTTTGCTACCTAGCTAAATCTTCATACGTAAAAACATTGTCAGGTTACCATAATTTATGAACTAGTAAACTCAACAAAGCTTTCCTACACAAAGAACAATGATTCTGAGCTGGGGTTGTAGCTCAATGGTAGAGAGCTTGCCTAGCACCTTTGAGGCACCAGGTTTGATCCTCAGCACCACATAAAAATAAATAAAATAAAGGTACTGTGTCCATTTACAACTAAAAAAAAATATTTAAAAAAGAACAATGATCCTCATTTGAGAGGATACTATAAATTTAAATCTAAAATTATACTGGAAATAAACACTGGACCCGGCTATATAACAAATCAGAATACAGATAGTATTTGTAACTCAAAGGTAGATCAGACAAAAAACCTTATACTGTAAGCTCTAAGAGAGTAGAAGCAGGGTCTTTTGAGTGTTTTCCTAGTATTTCCCCAAATACTTGAACTTTGAACTACAATATACTGTTTGGAAAAGATAAATTATCCTGAAATAATCTCAGTCAATCAGATTTCAGATGATTATACAGCTAACTTGGAAGATTGATGAATAAAGGGGGGCAAGGTTATTTACTATCAATTTCATGATTATCCCTAGAGGTCTGTCCTTAAACATACAAGTGTTAAAAGCCCTTGTAAACAGGCTTTAAAAGATACTTGGAAAAATGTCTTGGGAAGATGATGAATATACATCTATAAGACAAAGAAGACAACAGAACAAATGAAAACCAACAAATCAACAATGGAAAAAGTCACTCTTGTTCTAACAATACATTAAGAAGGATAATATTAGATTACTACTTTCTTCATAAGGTAGGAATAATGTTGAGCTAAAACAAGTAAAGCAAAAAGAACATGCTTCACACACAGTAGATGCTCAACAAACATTACTTTTTATTTTTCTATGAACAATATAGTGATTCAAAGTGGTTCTGAATGTCAAACAACTTACAATGAATTGGATGAACTCGATAAAATGTGACTGTTGCCAATACTGACTATAAAAATGCCAGTTTGGGCTCAGCACGGGGCATATACCTGTAATCCCATTGACTTAGGAGGCTGAGGCAGGAGGATCACAAGTTCAAGGCCAGCCTTAGCAACTAAGCAGGTCCCTAAGCAACTTAGTGAGACCCTGTCTCAAAATAAAATATAAAAAGGGCTGGGGATGTGTCTCAGTGGTAAAGCAACTCTGGATTCAATCCCCAGTAGAGGGGGGGGGGTGAAAGCCAGTTTTACTTAAGAATGTCCCTCTTGAAT